TGATGGAATAATAATGAGTAAAAGAAAGCTTAAAAGTGCTATGATGACAAAAAACTGAGAAGTTTGAGCAAACAAGTTAAGCAGAGACATTTGTACGAGTTCTAATTTTAGATAAATGTTTAAATATATTAGATTCTGAACTGTCTAAAAAAATAAAAATCAATCATTGGCATGCTGAAAATTAGACTGGAATTTCATTGTAAAATAAATTTTTAATATAATACGTTAATATACATACCACAGACAGAAGTTTCAAATAAAGTACATGCAAATATAAACGATTTTAACATATTTTGAGATAATAAAATTATAATAACAAAATCTACTAATTTAGTAGATTTATTGTAACCTACTAAATTTTTTTATGTTTGATTATTTCTTCAGGTCATAATGCATTTTAAGAATTTTAATTACGTTTCTTTTTTTTTAAATCATGATACAAAATTACTTAAAAACATAAAATAAAAAAAAGACTAACAAAGCAATGTTCACAAGAGCAGTAAGAATTTATTTATATTTCCTATCATTACTAGTACTACAGAAACACTTTATTTCTTTTACATTTTTTATAACTGAAATATTTAATTTAATTATAAAATGATTTCCGTGAATGTGTGAGCTTTGCAAACTAAGAGTGGAATTTCCAGATATACAAGTATGTCCTAAAAGAATCCAGAATACTTTTGAGAACGTTTGAGCCGCTCTGTTGGGTATCACGCTCAACTACAACTCTTCAGAAACTCAATCGATGCCGCAGTTTATATCAAGACAATCGCAAACAGCGTGATTTATTTAAGGACTTTTTTTTATCACCTCATTAGTTTATTGATAAAAATGACCGGAAAAGTTGAACAGCGAATTTTCATAAAGTTTTGCTGTAAACTTCTAAAAATTTTTGAAGATGACTGTATGGGTAAAAGTCAGATATATGAGTGGTATGAATGGTTTAAAGGTGGTTGCTAATCTGTTGACAGTGATTCGAGCTTCGGACATCTTTCAAACACTATAACACTGGAAAATATAGATCTTGTATGGCTCGCGATTAACAAAGATCGCCGGTTGACTGTGCGCGAACTAGAATATGATCTTGTGATTCCCAAAATCATTGTTTGGGAAATTTTAACCAAGAAACTAAGAATGACTAATATGTTTACAAAATTCATTCCAAAACTGCTCATGGAAGAACAGGAAAAGCTTCGCTTTGAAATCGCTTAGGACAACTTGCTCATGAATTTTGATGATTCAATAGATTCAAAAAGATTATTACTGGTGATGAATGGTAACTTTATGATTATGATCCCAAAACCAAACAACAGTTTTCACAGTAGAAACATTTTGGATCGCCAAGATCGAAAAAACCACGTCAAAGTCGGACCAATGTCAAGTCAATGCTGATTGTTTTTTTTTATTATAAAGGTGTTGTATACCACGAATATGATATATAGAGGTCAAACAATCACTAAAGAATTTTATCGTAAAGGTCTGAAACGATTGCGGTACGCAATAAGAAGAAAGCAACCTCAATTTCAAGTTGTTCAATGCTTCAGCAGAGGGTTGGGAACAGCGAAGGGCCCTATGCTTTAACACAGGAGGAAGCTTGTGCAGCGATATTTAACAAAGCCCCAAATCATACAACTTCGCCAATCTCCGTACAGTCTCACCACAGTTTCCTGTGACTTTTAATTATTTCCAGAATAGAAAAAGCCGTTCAATGAAGACCGGTTTGATAACGTAAAGACGATTCAAGCAAATGCGACGAGTGCATTGATGGCTATTCTAAAATCTGAGTTTCAGGACTGCTTCAAGAACTGGAAAAGCCGCTAAGAGTGCGTTAATCGAAGAAATGGGGATTACTTTGAAAAACGTCATTCGCCCGATGACGATGATCCACACCAGCGTGAAGATATGAAAGTATTCCGGTTACTTATACACACCTCCATGGTAAACCCATGTGTTTAAATTTAAACGTTTAATATGACATCACCCATAAGAAGTACATTGTCCTCAATTTTAAACACTTCTAAACGTTCAAATTCAGCGACAATGTATTTTTTACGGATGACGTCACAAAAATTACACACTTAAAACGTTTAAATTTAAACACATAGAATTTTAAGGTTTTGCCGTGCCCCTATACTAAATTTTTGTAATGCCGCAAAAAGAATATGTTTCATTTTAAATACACTCTTTTTAAAAGTATTTTTGTATTACCTAAAAGGCTTACTATACTATTCGCAGTATCATATACTTAAAAAGAAAACAATAGCAAAAAAAGGTAAAGCATCCATTTATGGTTTACACAATGAAAAATAAATACGATATTTACGATTCATTTATTTTCTTTAATCTCTATTCTCGCCAGCTATAGTTTTATCTTAGTTTACATTGTGTTCAACCGATATAAGGAAGCAGGGAAGAAAAATACCTTTTTTACTTTTCATAGGTAGATTTATTATCCTCTTCACAAAAAATAATAGCCAGCTAACAAATCTGTTACCAAAAAGTCAAAAATGAGTTTTCTTTCATTATTTGCTTATCAAACACAGCCACAGCATAAACTAGTTTAATTTATTTTTATTTTTACACAATGTTACGTGTATTTCTATACTACATAACTCACTTAAAAAAGACAAATAGACGCATATTATTAAATTAATCATATGAAAAATTCAAATGAAAAATATCTCATTGACATTCTTTAAATTGGTAGCAGGAGTAATACTTACCCCAGTCGTTACCGCGGAAAACAATTTCTAATTCTATAATATAACCATCGAAAATTATAATATACTTTTAGACTATAAAGTTGATAAGATAAAAATAATAAAGTAGAAAAGAAGCTAAAATCACTGAATCTTTTTTGAATTGATCAAAATTGACTTTATTCCGATGTTGATATATTTATCATTATTTTTTTGGTAAAGCTATAGTAAAGCTATAATGAAAATTGGAGGTCAATTGTTTCACAAAAAAATTTTAAATACTTCGTTTAGCGCACTTCGCACGCTCTACATTTTGCTTTTGTATTACTTATTTTATTAATTGAACCTTTTCCATGTAAACTGTGCGATTCTACTAGTATATACGCATGAATAAACCATGCAGTTCGAAGTAGATCATCACCATTGAGATTCAGCGATGAATAAATATTGAATTTGCACTAATTATTTCACAGTATTCGATCAACTGTTACTCATATCAGGATGTATTGAAAAATTTTCTAAAAATTCATTAGATCTATGATTCATCAAATGTAATAAATTATTATATTATACAATACTGAACCTTAGTTAATATTAATGGTTTGCTATAACGCCAATGTTATATTGGTATAATTAATAATACATTCAATATTATTGTTTTACTTGCCTAATGGGAACCGCCCATGAATATGTTTCAAATTTTTTTACAGGTTAAAAAAGTTAAAATATCGTTTTTCATGTTTTGAAAAGGAGGATAAGAATATTTTTTTTAAACAAGAAATATAAAATACCTGAATTAGTTTACGAAAAAGAAATTTTCCAAGTCAACAGTACAAGTTTGGATGAATATTTATATGTACGGAACGATAAACCTGTAATAGTTTATGAAAATATCCTTCTCGTAATAAATTTTTTCCTTTGTAGTGAAAATTTACAATAAGAGTTATAGTAGTATTCGGTAAATTGTATTCATTGTTGCTTAATTAAGCGCACTTAACTTGATTTTCTTAATAGAGTAAAATTAGATATATCATTCTGTTAATATCACTTAAAGTTGACTCTTAAAATCTAATGTTTGAACTGTAATGACACAGATAAAAGAGTCTATGTAGAATTTACAGTGAGAATTTCCGTTTTATGCTATTTAAATTTTGCTTACTACAACCAAATACAATTTTTTTTGTTATTATCTTTGTTGGTGTTTAACAACTGAAAACAAAGGTTAGTTTTGTATAACGACTTGTTATCATTGTGTTATTCTCGATAGATCTTCAAAAATTGGTTACAAAGATGATTGTAAAACTTTTATATTTTTTTAGTAATTAATATAGATTTGATATTAAAACTAATGAGTGTTCATGCAGCTAGACATATTTAGGCTCATATAACTTTGATCATTTGGTGGTTGTAAAACTTTTATAGCTTTGACAGTACATTTTTAAATAAAAAAATATTAATATAACAGATAAAAATATATTTTTTATTTTTTGACTTGCTTTGTCGCACAAAAAAGTAAAAGATAATATATTTTCTTGATTTGTGAACTGTTCAAGCATTCATAAAATGTTCAAACCATAGTATAATTATAAAAGAAATTTAATTTATACATAGCCTAATTAAATTATATATTGAAAAAAATGGTTACTAGTGACTAGTTATATATGTATATATATATATATATATATGCTTCATATGAACATACTATCATATGCAAATATACTCAACTGCTATCTTGCTTATAATTTTTGATAAATACAAAATAGAAGCAAAAAAGGTGGAATAATAACAACATTAAAAAAAGGAAATATACTAGTTGTCCTATGCCTATATTGTATAAATGTAAATCACGTTTATCAATAAAGATTCAACAATTTTCATTGAATTACATGTGAAAAAAATAAAAACTACCTTCGTGAATCTTTTAAATATTGAGTCAACGTTTTTGGCTTACAATAATACAATACCTACCCCAAACTATAACTACATTCCTTGATCTAAACAGAATTAGTATATCAAAATTATGGAAATTCATTTTATCTAATATCAATATAATTCTGCTGGAATAACTGTAAGCTAAGTAAAGTCCAAATCGTCCTAAGAAAAATACATAACGTATTCTGATATTAAGGGTTATTCACTTTACATCGTATAATATTTTTAATCACGTTATACTGTCTTCCGAAGACTAACACTTTGTTTTTTTTATAATACAAGTGAGCGTTATTAATATATATAAAAAAAGTAATTTTTAACAGAGAGATGTTGAAATTTGAAATATAATTTAAATTCAAGACTCACCAACAGAATTAGATGCTCCGACGCTGCTTCTACCAGGAGTAACTGCTGGAGTTGGAGGACTAGCCTCCAAAGCTTGATGCACCCCGTAAAGACCGAAATCCTGCTCATTTGAGCTAGTGCTACTGCATTTTCGTTTTTCTTGACTATGGTTTAAATGGAAAGCTTCTGTTTCCATAAGATTGACGGCACCAAGAAGACCAAGATTTGGTCTTAGCTCATCCATCAATTTATTTTGACTACAATTTGCAGCTGCAGCTGCTGAAAAGTTTAGTTGTCGGCTAAAAATAGCGGGAAAAATATTGAACTGTTGGTGTTCGAGGCTCAGTGTTGATAAAGATGAACCCGAAATGCTGGATGTACTGCCTGGCGCTGAGCTTCCGCTAGCGCCAGCTGCGTTTCCTGCACCGCCGCCACCGTTAACCGGGCCCGGACCGGCTGACAAGTCGTTAGCCAGATTGAAGCTGTCTACTATACTGGCTATATAGCTTATTTCATACCACAATACACCGCAACTAAACACTAACTAAAAACTTTCATGTACAACACTCATTTAGTTACCTTTTGAAATACTCGGTAAGAAATTGAATATTATAGATAAAGATCAAATATACAGTTGAGAACGGGTTCACTAGAATGATTGCCATGCGAATCTGTAAGAGAGAAACGAAATATAGTTAGTCCAGGGCAAGTTGTAGCCAACGTAATCGGCCTGCTATTTCATTGGTTACTGAATGCCAGGCGTTGCCGAGGCAACATGTACAACCCACCCAATCAAACTAGATTTCCGTCATCATGGCGCTGTCCCAATAGAAATTTATCTAAAAAATATTCTGTCCATTTAGATCTAGTGTTATTTTGCTTTCCTTTTTTTTCTTTCAATCTTTTTTAAAAATTTTTTTTTTTAAATTCTTTTTGCTATTCTTTCTTTATTGTTATCTTTTGTAACCCACCTATTCTATGATTAACTTCACTGTTTATATTTGAATATTGAATTTCATAAGTAAATCGACATTTTTTTTTCTAATCTTGTTGTAATCTATTGATAACTATATTTATATGCAATTATATTATTTTTTTCGGAAATGATCATAAGGACTTCAGTAAAAACTAATTACTATTATTAAACTACTATTTTCAATTATACACTTATTTTTAACTATTCATAAGAGAAGTTAAATATTAATATCTATTTGAAATATTCTATTAATAACGTCTGCATATCTAGGATAATATTTATCTTGATTATTCCACACTTGTTTTCTCAAAAGAAACGTTTAGTAATAGTGAAATATTCTTACTTCATGCATTATTTTAAAAATAAATTTTAGTAAAATTGTATATCACATGCATAATTAAATTCTGTGTTCGTACGTACATCATTTATTATACTACAATATATACTCTTGCTATAAAATATGTGCATTATTTCAGTACAACAGAAGTTAAGTAATACTAAATGTAATTAATTCATTTAGTAAGATTTTTCGGCATTCTATTGTTCTGTTCAAAACCTGAACTCTGACTAATACAGATTTAGCGAGAAATATAAATTAAAATATTCCACTTGTTATAAAAATATTACAAAATAATTTTAACATTTTATTACTCATTTATCAATGCAATTAGAAAACTACTTGTTTGATATATTTTCACAGCAGTTTTAAGTTAAATGACAACAAAAGCACGCAAATAATTTAATGTATATTGAAATTTAATTAATGTTTAACCATATTTTAATTTTAGTGAGCAAATGAAACGTGTGTCCAATTATTAATAATGGAAATATAATATAGGAAACTAGCTACAGTAGTGCACGACAACTTTTATATATTTATCATATTTGTCTTTATTTCATAGACTTATGGACAGCATATTTATCACTATACTATGATTTTTTCATAATTTTAATGATTTGAAATCATATTAACGTATTCAAAGCCGAAATTTCGGAAATTGTGAATATAAGCTTAGCAATAACGTCATCTGCGAAAGCCATTGAAACTGAAATCAGAGGGAGAGAGAAAGAGAGAGCAAAGATTTGAAAAAGAAAGAGAATAAAAAGAATCTGTGTGGCGGAGAAAGAATTCAATGCAAAAAATATCGGTTAATTAATTACGCGTACTCCTAATGAATACTTAAGCATTATTTTTATTTCACATTATTAAAGTTATTTGGCTGTATTATATATAATACATTATTCTCTTTCTTTTAAAACCTAAACTAGTGATATCTGACCATAAATATTAATAAAATTTTAGAAATAAATAGGAATTACCGATTAAAAAATAAAAAGTTGATTGATATTTTATTTGTATGTACTACGTGGACGTGTATATGTACAGAAATCAAAGTATAATCAGGAAAATTGAACGTGGAATACAGGAAATAATCGCTACCGATGATGAAATAAAATATAAGAAGAAATGAATATAAGAATGTCACTGTCGTAATTCGATATATATTCGAAATAATGACGTACATATGGACATATGTGCACGGTTTTGTATACAGACCTATTATTGTGTGTATAAAAATGACGTTAATCAATCATTAGCTATATTACTCTATATAATAGTTTGTGTATATCATAAAATTATTCACGATTGTCTTTACATTAAAATAATAGAACTGATGCATATAGTAATATTGAATATACTTATATACGAAATACTCAATTCAATGATTGAGACTTAAATCTAAATCAAGGTAAGACTGAGGTAAGTTATTAAAATAATCAAATTCATAAGAAATGTAGTCAAGATGCATATTCTGTTTTGATTATTGTCCATAAATAATAAACGAAATTTTGCATAAACCGTAAAGATCACTAAGTTAATTAATCAAATAATTAATCGATGCTGTTTATTTGCATAACGTTTTATTCGGATTTGGTTTTATTGTTGTCATGAAACGTCTGTTATTCTAATAATATTATATTAAGAACATGCCAAAAATAATAATACTTCAGCTTAAGACATTTTTGAGGACGATTCATGTACAAATTTATTCAAATATTTATATTTAGGTAAGCTATTACTGCGGGTATTGGTCAAGGTGGATATCAGCTCTCTTGCTTCTCCACCTACCTTCCTCTTCAGAGGAAGATTCCTTTTCTGAATCGTCCCTTTTGAATGTGTTAGCTACTTTAGAGAAACATATATAAAAAAACAAAGATAAAAGGAAAAACTGTATTCATAAAACTTATCCTAGTTATACATATTTTAATTAACAATATATCTTAAACTAGAATTTGTATATTTATTTGCATTGATGAAAATCCTCAAGACTTCATGGGCATCAGCAGATAGGGATCCTGGATTTTGGAAGGAATCACGTACTAACTGCGTGAGTATGTGATTCTTTCTCTGCCGACAATCAGTAACATTACCAGCCGTAGTCTTTCTACGGAAGAAAAATCGCGCTACGTTTTTTATTTGTATTGCATCGTTAACACCGTACATTTAATGGTTAGCAGTTCGTTCGTTCTTTTTATATATTTTCGCTCTCTCACTCTCTCAGAGCTTTAATCTGGTAAAAAAAGACTTTATTGAACTTCGGAATGGACGTTCGTACAGCTACATAACTCGACAAGCTATGCTAATTTTAGCACATAATAACCCAATAATCTGTGCAGAATCTAACACACTTCTCATTCCGAGACATCATTTCTGTTTTAGTATGAAACAGATGACGTTTTCAATATTATATGAGTATTTATGATGATTTATTTGTAATTATTTAATAAAATATTTTTAATAGACATTTATTTAAGAAAAAAGTTTCAATAAAAAAATCGGGCCTTTTTTCGCTCATAAATATTGATATTTGAATGGGTAAGATTGAATGTGTGGATCTTGTTTATTTAAATATTTTTATAATTTATATTATTTATTTTATACATATTTTGTTTGTATTTTGAGTTAATGTATTTATTATATATATTTGATTTAGCGAGCCTTCCTTTTTTATTTATTATCTTACTTTTTCATTTTGTATTGTTTAATTAATATTTTAAATATAAATTAATTTTCTTAAAGATTTATTAATTTTTTAATTTTTACACACTTTTATACCAAAACATGACTCACCCTCACTGTCTATTTGTGATGGTGTTGGTGCTGAGCAGCTTCTCTACTGTAGTATCAGGGAATGCTCTAGAGATTTGCTCCTGTCCTGCAATAATCTCTTGATCGTTGAAGAGTGAATCATGAACTAGTGAGACAGTGCTTGTGCTTGTATAGCAATATAGTAGTATAGCAATGTATGTTCCAGCACACTTGCGGGGGGTCCGTAACCCTTTGGCCCCCCCCTGGCTTAACCCTTTCATGTTAATAATAATTGTTAATGTTAACAATTATTATTAACAATATTCGTGGGAGGTCGCTGGTTTAACCCTTCAATGTTAATTATTATTAATGTTAATAATTGTTTATAATTTTTTGAGGAAGATTTCTAGGGCTCCTAGTCACTAGGGCTCCTAGTCCCTAGGGACACTATACCTAGTGCTTTCAGTCTAATTAAATTTAAATGTATTCTTTTTAAAAGTTATAAATATATTTATTTGCTACATTGAAAATGAAACGAGTAGAAAATAGCGACGATTTTTGAAAAAAATGAAGAGACCGGAGAATCGAACCGGAGTCCTCTGGTTTGGCAGGCTAGCGCTCTACCACTAGAGCCAATACCACATATACCTTAGAGGATGCATATTGTGTATATTAGCTACACACGCATACATTTAGTATAGGGCCTGAGCGTGCGGGGGGGAGGCGCATGCTGTCTATAGTTCTAACTTGAGAATGCGTGCTCTCTCTCTCTCTCTCTCTCTCTCCCCCTCTCTTTAGCTCTAACTCAGCGTGAACCACAGCGTGCGGAGGAGGAGGGGAGCGCATGCTGTCTATAGTTCTGGCCTAATGGGGATCCGCTACTATAGTAGTAGCATGGAGACTGTATAAAGGAGAGGTAGCGGCCGTATCCCCTCCATGTAAAACGTTTGCGACCCACATCTCCGCACTGACCCTCTACCCCCAGCGCCTCTCTCGGTGACCAGACCACGCGAGATACCGCGTTACCGACGCGACCTGTCCCAAAGAGACCGCGTTTTAAAGCGAGATCTCTTTGAACGGCAGACCTCGCAAGTGCCAACTGCTCCGCCTCAACGGGGTGACGCGGTGAACACCCAGAAGGGTGGCCAAAAGGCGGCTCTGGCTAAACTTCAACGCGATGAACCCTGTTTTGGCCCAACGACAGAGTTTTGAAAGATCTGACTTTGGGACGGAACGGGGTAAAAACAACCTTTCGAATGACGGATACCCACCAGCGTGAACGGGTTGGACCGAAACGCAATGGGGAGACATGCCCCGGCATGTCGAAGCGATGGACCTGTGAGTCGTGGGAGAAATCCCTTAATACAGGAACGCCGGGTGGGACGTATTTCGAACGCGAGCCCAGGAGGGGGGCTTAGTTGGTCGATCGTCTAAGGAATCTTCCTCTGGCTGTCCTGGCTGAGTCTCTCCTCTGACATCCCAATTTGGGTTGGCCTCTGCGGGGTAGTGGTACCAGGTCAAGCAAATCTCGTAAGATTTGTATGCTGTGTGCTTCCGACGCAGTAGACGTTGGGGCA